AGAGAAAGAGAGGAGACCTCAAGCATCTTTCGATCCATCAGTGGCTTCGCTCTGCCATCCGTGATTCACAACAACCAACCGCTCCTATAGGTTTCCTATTTTTGAAACTTCCGCTACCGCCTTGTGCGGTACTACTGGTATATCTACGATAAACATTAATGTAAACCAACTTGTAACTTGTGGGCCCTTCTTGCATGGTTGAATGCGAAATCCAAAGAGATTCTACCACCAAACATTGGAATCTTGAAGTGTGATTAGATATAATATTAGATTTAATGGGACCTTAATGGAATAGAAATACCACAATGCCCTCCCCCCGGTTATGTTTCTCGGTTGTTTATGTTACTCCATCTAACTAGTTTGATATATCCACCACAATCATAAGTTCTATCACTAGCCTGGTTAGAAACCAAATTCCCACCGTTTTGGGGGAATGGATCTCCAAATAAACAATGTGTCAGGAAACCAATACTCCAATGCTTGCAGGATCCTTTCTTGTAGAATGGTCAGTTGATGTGTGGTTAAAAAAAGGTGACTTTTCCAGCAGGCCATGCGGAAGAGTGTCGGACGGCGAACCGAAAAAAAAGTTCCCACCCCACGTAGTCAGAAGAGGCTGCCCTCCACACTTTCTATGTTTCCCCACGACTGGTCGCAAGGACGGAGCTTTAGACAGAGTTTTCTCATCGTATCCATCCTGGATTTCGCTTGAAGCTGCCTGATTCCCTCGGAGTTTTGGGGCTTGGAGACCCTGCAAAACAAACATAGCTGATGAGGGAAATCTCACCCCAGTTACGGCAAAAGATTGGTATGAAAGAACCCATACCAGGGTTAAGTTTGATTGCCCAAATATGCACTTAAGGTATCTTAAGGTGAAATCAACCACGGAAATCCCCTATAAATAGATTTTTCAATGGAAAAACCATCTATACTTATGGGATTTGCCATTGCCAAGTTTGATTATCGGAGGGAATCATGGATCCCAAATTCAGTAGGACCATCGAGGGGTTCAGGTTTTGGTGCGGCCCAAAGCGAGAAACTCCGAGCAAATCCGCGCGGTTGCGGATGCGGAAGTGGTGACCCTTCTCGTGGTCCGGAATGGCGAAGTTTTGTTTTCCATAGTTTTAAACCTCGAACAACCCATGAATGGGATCATTTACCCTCTGGTAAACTAACATAACTATGGAAAGTCACCATGTTTAATGGGTAAATCCACTATTTCAATGGCCATGTTCAATAGCTTTTTTGTATGTTTACCAGGCCGGGTATTTCTGGAGAAATTGATCAACCCACTTAGCTGATCAGGCTGATCCCATTCAGATGTTGGAAACTTAGTAAGGGATTGAGCAAATATGTCTTCATAAAAGCTGCTACATGGGATCAACATTCCCTACCCTGCAACAAACATACTAGTCTGTAGCAGGATAAATATCCCCAGACGAAAAAACTATATATACAATAAACCAACCACAGTTTCTGGCTACATAATCCCATATGTGTATATATGTATGTACATATATATATTAATATATACATGTGTGAATGGATATACGTATCCCCAAACATTTTTGGGGGTCAACATCCCCACTCTTTTCTGGTGAGCCATCCCGCGAGGGCGTTAACACTGACCCTCTGGGCAATGATGGTTGGCCAAATTTTATCGGATCACTAAGTTAAGATCCCAATATCATACCGGTCAGCCATTATCTCCATTCTCTATAGCTAGTTTCCAGCTTTATTGATTAAACAATGGTGATTGTTGATACTAGTTAACCTTTTGTTTTTTCATTATCCCCCCAATCATATCCCCATTCTATACCCACCTGTGGGTAAGTTACGATAATTTGGAATAGTGTGGGATAATTATCCGTATCCAACGTCACGAAGTGAGTTTCTTCTTTCCAATAACAAAGTCTTGTCATATCATCTCATGTCAAAAACCTTTTGGGATTGTTGTAAATCTGGAACCCAAAAAACTTACCCGAATTTTGTCAACCGCAATCTTGTTGTTGCACCCCGGCCAGACTTATGCTTTTTCCAGTTTAAAAATTAGCGAAACTGATCCAAAATTCAACGGAAACCAGAAGGTTCCCTCACTCACATCCGCAAACACGCCGGTTTCCAGCCACTCAGTTTCATCTTCACGCTGCCCATAGCGCCTGGATTGCAAGTTCAGAAAAAATGGTAGGAACATCATTTCAAACACACAAATAAAATGATGACTTTCCTATCTGTTCCTATGATTTTCCTATGATTTTCCTATATTTTCCTATGATTTTCCTATGATTTTCTTATATTTTCCTCTGATTTTCCTATGATTTTCCTATATTTTCATATATTTTCCTACATTTTCCTACATTTTCCTATATAAATTCTCGGATTTGTCATCCAAAACTCTGGTCAAATCAAAAAAACTGCACAGCATTGGCCTCGCCTGCCGCTTGGGCCGAAGGGGGGAAGCGCTCATCCAACTGCGAAGCGTCCTCGCAATGGGGGAAATGTGCAGGAAAAAATATTGAAATATTGATAACCAACCATACCCTATGGATCCAAACACTGTCTGAGAAGCTACTTAACCCCCTATATCATACCTCAAGTACTTCCTAAGAAGGCACTTGGATCCATAGGGATAGATATATTTCAACCATGGATTTATCTACACATTTTCCCCATGGATATATCAACCATTGATAAATAATAGAAAACCATAAATGTGTTTATGGATATATCAACCATAGATAAAATTGAGATATAGATATCTATGTATTTATGGATTGATCAACCATAGATATACACTTTTGATGTTGTCCCGTGGATATACACATGTTCCCATAGATTCGTAAATATGGATCAATATTGATAACTATGAAGAAATATGTGTACATACACATGAGTATACATTAGTATATCATCATATATGGATATGGAGATGTACATTATGTCTTGGAAAGTATGGAGGAATATGAAGGAATATGGATAAATATGATAAAGATGGAGGAATATATGGAGGAAGAGGGATAAATCTGGTCAAATATGGATAAATATTGATAAATATGAAGAAATATTTATATACAGTACACCATGGTATTCGCAAAACATCCTGGCAAAACCACAAAATTTATTGGAAAATATGAAGGAATATGGATAAAGATGGAGGAATATGGATTAATATAAATAAATATGTACATACATTTCCATTAGTATATATTAGTATATATCATTATATCAATATATGAATATAGTAGAATTTGGTCAAGTGGGATTTCATCAATTGAAAATACCTTTGTTTCGTGGCTGATCTTCCCATTCAGTTCCCCTGTTTGCTGCTTCAATTCTTGACATGTGGCGGTTTAATCCGCTTTTTTCACAGTCGCGAGTCGCATTTTTGTTGGTTGAATATATGTTTGCTGGTTGATTTCCTCACGTCTGTTTGTGAAATCCTCAATTTTGTTGATGAAATTTGAATCTATTTTTGCTTGTCAATATCCCAGTCTTGTTCGCTAAAACCTGGGTTTGCTTGAGGGGGCCACCAAAAGAAAAACAAGTCTTCTCAACAGATGCCACAAATGGTAAATTAATTCTAGCACAATGCGCGCAAAAAACATGTTCAGCAAATTCAAGAAAATCAATAATGTTCTTGTTGAAATTGCCATTTGGAGGTACTGTATACCCATTCACAAACACCCAAAATCCCATATCATTGGGTTATATATCCCATCAAATATCCTTATTTTCCCAGTTAAACCATCATTATTGATCGTTAAACCACCATCTTTCAATATTGTGTTTCACCATGTTTTCAACATGTTTGTTACTAAAATCTCGAGCGCTTCCAATACGGAAACATCGCTCCTGGAAGTTGTAGGAGCTCACAGCAGCCTCTGGCACTTCCTGCGGAAAAATCTTGGAGTCTGCCATCTTTCAGTAGTTGACTCAAAAACAATCAAAGTGTTCATAATTGTTTACTTACCTACAAAAAACATCTTGGAATTTGCAATCTTAACCAAGAAAAATCTGGATTTCATGCAAAATTCAATGAACAAACACATTGAGAGCTGCTGTTTTTTAGCACAACATGAATGGATATCTGATACGTTGCTCCAAGATCAGGATGCCGCCATATTAGGTACCGAACAAGACCAGGGGAGCAGGCAATTTTTTTTCGCCAGTTTTCCCAGCGATTCCTGGTCGTCACTGCAAAAATGTCCTGCTGAAAACCGTGAAACCCATCGGATCATCATCCCAATCCCAGTTGGTCCCTATGGGATTTAATGGTGATTTTTATGGTGATTTTTATGGTGATTTTAATGGGATTTAATGGTGATTTTAATGGGATTTAATGGTGATTTTAATGGGATTTAATGGTGATTTTAATGGTGATTTTATGGTGATTTTATGGTGATTTTAATGGTGATTTTAATGGGATTTAATGGTGATTTTAATGGGATTTAATGGTGATTTTAATGGGATTTAATGGTGATTTTAATGGTGATTTAATGGTGATTTTAATGGGATTTAATGGTGATTTTAATGGTGATTTAATGGTGATTTATGGTGATTTAATGGTGATTTTAATGGTGATTTAATGGTGATTTAATGGTGATTTAATGGTGATTTTAAATGGGATTTAATGGTGATTTTAATGGGATTTAATGGTGATTTTAATGGTGATTTAATGGTGATTTTTATGGTGATTTTTATGGTGATTTTACTGGGATTTAATGGTGATTTTAATGGGATTTAATGGTGATTTTAATGGGATTTAATGGTGATTTTAATGGTGATTTAATGGTGATTTTATGGTGATTTTAATGGTGATTTTAATGGTGATTTTAATGGTGATTTAATGGTGATTTAATGGTGATTTAATGGTGATTTAATGGTGATTTAATGGTGATTTAATGGTGATTTAATGGTGATTTAATGGTGATTTAATGGTGATTTAATGGTGATTTAATGGTGATTTAATGGTGATGTAATGGTGATTTAATGGTGATTTAATG